TTGATCTTGCTTCGACTTCATTGGCAAATTCTGCTGTTTTCTGCTTATTATTGTCCTGATCTTCAATAAATCAGTATTATTGAATAGAACAGATGAAAAATCCAAAAGACTTTTATAAGAAACAGCTCTTCTAGCAGGATTACATATGATGTGGATAATTTTTATTCTTCTTAATTTTTTATTTTTCTTTGCATCCAATTCTGGTGCTCAGTGTAGCTTTGAAAACCCATTGTGAATTTTGCAGTGAAAAGACATCTTCTTAATGGCTGTGAAAGTTCACTTAGATCTTATTTTAGTTCACAACAATGTCTTCTACTTCTTTTCCCTGAAATGAAAGAACAAAGCATAATCAGCCATCTCGACTTGATTTACGTGTAGGATAGTACCTGTCATGAGAGGGGTAACAAGTAAACCCTTTTGTGAGCACATATTTAATAGAACCCTAATAGTTGTGAAGACTGAAGGCCATATTTTATTGCATAGATTGACTCTGGGCTATGTAGAAAGGTCACCATGGGAATATCCTATTTGTCAATTTAGATTTGCCTGTGTTATAGGGAATCAAAGTGGTAGGTGGAATGATTGGAAAAAACCAAAACCAAAACCAAACCAAACCAACACACTTCAGTCTTAGAATTGCATTTGAGAGAAACCATTTGGCAATAGTGTTTGAAGCATATCTTCTGCGTTTCAGATAAATAGCTGAAAAAAGAAATAATGTGTCTACGTTTAGAAAGGAAATAAAACCAGTGGAAAGAAGAGAGAGGCAAGACAGTAAAAAACTAAATCATAGGGATTTGTGTCTTTATATATTGATACATCATAGGATAATAACAGTAATATATACTTTCATTTGAAAAGAAAATCAAATAACATTCGTCAATACAACTTGAATAATATATTTTTTTCAAGGCAAAAAAAGCTCTTAATTAGTAAATGAATTGTAGGCACTTTGTGTAAGTGACTTGTGGTAGAGTTGAGGCTAGATTGAAAGCAAGAATAGACATGACAGTCTTAGAGGAGACAAAGAGCCCTGAGCAGGCCACTTGGGTTGTATTCAATAAGAGAACTATCTAGAAATGTGCTATATTTTAGAAAGTGTACCCTACCTCTGCAATCAATAATGCTGTTGAGTTTTATAGAAAACCTCAACATTTACAGTTTTTAGTAGATGAATAACTAATGTAGTCTAGTTACTTGAAAACATGGCTACAGTAATCCTAGGACACTCAATACATAAATAAATTTTCCTTTTTCCCCCCACTTCAAATTGCTTATTATAGGGTTGTCAGAAAAGTCATGATGTATTTTGTCTATGTTTTTCAAAGGTCATTTATTTATATAAAGAACAAAGGTCAATCAATGATATATTGCCTGTTTTGTTCGATAACCTTTTGCCATCTTTCAGTGAGCTTCATAATTCCTCATTCATAGAAGGACCTGTCTTTATTTGTGAAAAACTGAACAAGGTGCTGATTTACAGCTTCATCTGAATTGAACATTATACCACGCAAGAAGTTTTGAAGAGAGCGAGACAAGTGGAAGTCTGATGGCACAAGTGGAGGTCAGGCGAAAATGGTGGATGTGGCAACACATCCCATCCAAGCTCCAATCATTTTTGACGGGAGATCAAACTTGTGTGTGGTCTTGCATTGTCGTGATGGAACACAACTCCTTTACAATTAAGGAGCTCTGGCCATTTCTGGATGACGGATTAATTCAAACTGTCCAATTGCCAACAGTACACATTCAAATTGATTGTTTGGTTCCTTGGTAGGAGCTCAAAAAACTCGACACCTTTAAAATCCCACCACACTGAGAGCATAACCTTCCTCTGGTGAATGTCTGCTTTCAATGTCGTTTGAGGCTAATCATCATGTCAGGACCAAGACCGTTTGCACACCACATTGTTGTAAACAATCCACTTCTCATCACCAATTATCAGCCGCTTCAAAAAAGGATCGTTTTCCTCACGTTTAATGAGCATATTGCAGATGTTTATACATACCATCAAATGAACTTCTTTGAGTTCATGTGGAACCCAAATATCGAGCTTGCTTACGTATCCCAGGTTCTTCAGGTGGTTGTGAATGCTTGAATGATGGATGTTCAATGTTCCTGCAATCTCTCGTGTTGTGTAACGTGGGTTTGACTTGATCAATGCCTTTATTTTGTCGTCATCAACCTCGATGGGCCTCCCTGACTGAGGAGCATCGTTGAGATCAAAATCACCAGCACAGAATTTTGTGAACCATCGTTGGTACTGATGTTCTTGTAGAGCACTGTCACCGTAAACTTTATGCAACTTTTCACAAGCTTGACGCATGTTTTTCCCTTTATGGAAGTAACAGTCAAATATGGCAAAAATGCACAGTTTGGTCTTCCATCTTCAACTTGTTGTAAAATCTCCAAAACTCAACCAAGTCGCTCAATTTTTTTTTTAGAATGAAGGTAGAACTGCCAGCTGTCAAATAAGGTAGAACTGCCAGCAATAACATAGATGCGAATGACTCTAGTACTTCCAAAAATGAACTAGTGCCATCTGTTGCAAAAATGCGTCAATACTTTTCTGACAACCCAATATAATTTTCTGAGTAGACTAGAAAATATTTGATACTATACACAAAATGATTAGTACGCATTAGTGTTCTTAGTAGTAAAGTCAACTTTGGAGTATGTCAAAGCATTTTACTTAAATGCTTTAATAAATTATTAGCTCTGTCATATGTGGTTTTCCTTTGAGATTGTCAGAATAATTATTTTTTTAATATCAAACTTTGCTGAAGACACATGAAAGAATTATAAGTATTGTGAGTATGTTTGATTATAATCATATTTGAAATTCACTATTTTGATTATGTACATATTTCTATGTTAAGTCACTGGGGACAACCTTTTGACAAATTCCTATTATTTTCAAAAATACTTCAAACATCCATTTTTATACTAAGAGAACCTGGAGTGTAGTCATGTGACTTACCATCTGAAGAGCAGTAAGGCTTCTGGACTCTAGAGTATTTGCTTCTATTTTTAAAAACAAATTATGTTATTAATCTAAGAATTAGAGTACATCAAGATAAGAGCCAATGAGGATGATTTTTTTAGTTATAGGATGGTTTTGTCCATATGTGAATCTGATTGTATATCAGGTGTACAGTGTAGAAGAATCTTGGTAAAACACTGATCTTTTCACTCTCTCTCACACACACATACACAGATCATGATTATCTTCAAATATATACAATAGCACATTTTTAGATCCAGGGAAAGGATCCAGTAGAGTGGGAGAAATTGAAGAGCGAAAAGATGCTGCTCTTATGGAACTAGGTCAATGGGGGTTGAAAAAGGCTCGGAAGAGGGTGGGGGTAGACTCTCAGGCGAAAGAGCTTGGAGGGAACATGGGTCTCACCCTGAGATTCTGATATCTTTTAGGGATTGGAGGCAGGGGTATAGAAAAGAAGAACAATTTTCTCTCCTAGGAGCACCGAGATGGAGAGGAGCATTGACGGGACTGATTTTGGATAAGAGAGGCACCATGACAATGTGTCCATTCATCCATTCACTCGTTCATCTGTACATTCATCATCCATTCAGGGAGCCAATCAGTCAATTAAAAAGAAAACAATTGTTTGCCCTTATATCTAAAATAATAAATAGAGAAACTAAAGTGAAAGGAGTACTTTCTATTTCTTTTTTGTTTTAGTTTCTGTGGGTATCATGGGGCATAGCAGGATATTTTCTAGGGGAAGATTCTTGTATTCTCTTAGCCTGTAAATATATGAACCTATAGAAGAAAATAGGTAACAGCTAAATGGGAAGGTTTTTGCATTGATAGTAATAAAGTTTTCTGTGGACTACAAATTTATTTTTTTAACAGACCAAGTTATATGTGGGGGAGATGTATTTCTTACTGTTTATCTCTGTGGACTCTCAGTAAACACTTGTTGGTTGCTAATGGACTGTGAAAAAGTTAATACAAATTTGTGGGCTTAGTGATTTAGGTAATCGTCTTCATGGCTGATGTGTTAGTTTCAATATGTTGTGATATGCCACATATGGTCATTTGATATATACAGAGGGTGCCAAAAATGTATACACATTTTAAGAAAAGAAAAAACCGTATTAAAATTATGTTGATGGTGACCACTTTGAGCACCTCTTGTAACTGCAGAAGTCAAACGTGACTTGTATTCATCTTTTGTTATCAGTATACATTGAGTATTACAACTTTAATATAGTTTTTTCATTTCTTAAAATGTGTATACTTTTTTTGGCACCCTTCTGTGTGCGTGTGTGTATGTATTCTTATGCAAATATTACTAAATTGATTTTTAAGATTAATGTTAATGTGTTAAAGTGTGGTTTGTAATTATTTTCCTTATTTTTGTCTTGCCCAAATATCAATGTCTTCTCAGAGACTTCTCTCTTTTTATAATAACTATGTCAATTTATATTAGTTTTTTTTCTGTACAGGAAAGTAAATTGCCTCCAAGTTTCTGCTCCAGTCAAAACCCTCAAACAATTCCTCAAACAAGTAGAGACGTATTAAGTGTCTGCCAGAGTCCCTACCTGCCTCCTCGCCTGAGTCATCATTAACAAGAACAGGCAAAATATGGGCTCTGGCTGCCTCGGTGCTATGATTTCCTGGAAGTGAAAGACTTGTGTACTGTAAGATATGTCCCACCAACTTGGCCATTCTTTTTCACTTAAGGCTCCTGGACAAATGCAAAACCACCTGGGCTGAGTTATTATTTTAGTCATGAACATACTAGCATAGGTTAATTTGTCTGAGGGCCTCAGCCCAGACAGTATGACCTCAAAGAATACTTGGAGAATCTCATTTCTCTGTTGGTTGATTTGGCACCCTGGTCTTCTGAGGGCTACAGGTGATATCAGGAAGAGGTTCTGAATACAAATCTCACATACTCTGTTTTTCATTAATGCTTCCCTTTGGAATGTATTTTTCTTTATTAATAAGTATCTTTTGTTTTTGTGCACAGGCAGCATGTCAGCTGAAACACCAATCACACTGAATATCGATCCCCACGATTTGCAGGTCCAAACATTCACTGTAGAGAAGCTACTGGAGCCTCTCATAATTCAGGTATTAATACCACGGAAATTACAACGTGTAGTAAGTGTGGGAGAACTAAAAAATATGAGAAAAGTACACAATGAATCAAGAGAAGATTTGATTTTTTTAGAATAAATGTCATCTTAAAGTGTTGTTAAAATGTAAAAAAGTATGTACTTAGTAATAATTATAAAATTCTGAAAGTACCCCCTCCTATTCTCTTTTAAAAGTAATAGCAATAATATGTATATGTAGTATTCAAAGTACTAATACATAGACTACCTTGCTTGGTAGTCATGAAAACTGAGACCGGCAGCATGGTTAAAACCATCCTTACATAGATGAGGAAACAGCCTAGAGAATTTTGGTGACTTGCCCAAAGGTACCTGGTGGCTCTTTTGTCAAATAGGAAATTATTTTTAAAATACCAAAATGTATGAGGAGAGCAGCTATTTAAGGAATTCTGTGATAAAGTCTTTTATAAAGTGAACAATCCTTTGATAATATGCATAATGATTCTCCAACTTCTTTATTAAGTAAGTCCATATTTTAGTAATTGGATTTTCTTTAAGCAGAATTGGAAGAAACATATACGACAGTGGTGTGGATTTATTTGTCCTTAACCCAAAATTTGTGAGGAAATTCTCCTTTAGGCTTATCTTATATCTTACCATCTAAGACAAATTGTCCCCCCCCCCTTTTTAAGGCTGTGAATCATTCAAGGGTTTCTTGGGTGAGAAGCTATACTGACTTTACCTCTGATAATTTTAAAATGTTCTGCTTCTCTTTGTGAGGTAGATGATGGGGAGGGGAGTAGCTCTGAGAACAGACTGTGCACACGTTTTACTTAGCACAAGTAGATATATGTTACTGGATGAACAATTCAAAATATCTGCCTTGCTGATGGTAGTTTAATCATGAACTTTGGCAGTCTTAACGGCGCTAGTACCTGGTACGAAATTGATACAGATGACTATGGAGACATCATTAAAGTCTCTCTATCTTAGCAACCCACTGAATGGTCTCATGTTAAAAAGAAACAAAAAAAACCTTATTTATTGTTTTTCTCATAAAGTTCACTGGAAAAATTGAAAACGCAAAACAAAAACATTAATAAAAACACTCACAATATTACCATGAAGAAGTTAACACTAATGTTTTGATGAATTTACTTACAGTACAGTAAAATTATGGGTGATTTTAATCTCCTTAGTACTTTATAACATTAAAGAGTATATATTTACATGTCTTATATATATAAAGAATATATGTAAACAAGGCAGAGAACTGTATATGTAGGTTTTATCTTGCTTTTTCATTTAAAATGATATTTTGATAATTTCCAATTCTTTGTAAGCATGATTTAATAAAACTGCTGTTTAGTTATCCATAATTTTTTTTAAGTAGCCTCTCATTTTTGGATATTTAGGTTGTTTCTGTTTTTTCACTATTATAAATAATGCTGTCCTGAACATCTTTGTATATAAATTTTTGTATCAGTTTGAATTGTTACCCTAGAATTAGTTACTAAATGTAAAAATAAGTGACCAAGATAGAATTCTTATGTTTTTTTCATACATATCACCAACTTTTGGGGGCAAAGTTTTAAATGAGTTCTCCCAAGTCATTTAAGATTTTGTTCCTATGATGTTACTGGGTGTGGGTTGTGGAAATAGCTTTCATGGTGGAGATGGCTGGTAAGGGCAAGTGCGTTAATGCCATTATATAACCCTTACTTGTTCCATAACAGTGGAACATTACAGTTGGCCCCTTAAGATGCGCTAATAACAAAGGCTGCTGGTATATTCCTTATGAACAAAGAAACGGCTGCTCACAGTTTGTATTTTCTGGAATGTCTAAAAACTGTTATAATAATTTATAAACTTTTATTGAGTTTATAGAAAATTAAAAGGGTGAAAATGACCTGAAGAAATTTTATTTGATTGCAAAGAAATCTCACTTTTTAAAGAAGTGTGATTATGTTAAGTTTAGAGAGCTTTTAATATAGTGTTTGGATTCAGACGTTTCATGATCTGTAAGTAGATGAGTCAGGGAAAGAGAAATCAGTACGTAGTATATACCAGATAGTTCTTAGTTACAAGTAAATGTAATTGCTAATTTTATCTTTCTTAAGATTTTTGTCAATGTTTTTGAAAATGTTTATTGATTTCACGAAGGTGGTCCACTTCACCAATATGCCAGGTAGAAAAAAGGTTTCTAGATCTTAGCAATATTCAAGTCAAAGTAAATAAAAAATATTAATAATTTATAGAATATTTATTATGTTCAGGAACTATCTCATAAAGGAGAATTCTAGTACAACAAAATTATTTGGACACACTCTTGATTTTCATTATAATGGGGTTCTCCTTATTAAAAACCAGTGCATTTCCATTGCACTGTACACCTGAAGCTGAAGCTGAATAATACTGAATGTCAACTATAATTATATATGTATAATACAGCATAGGGAATAGAGTTAATGGAATTGTAACAGCTATATATGATGTCAGAGAGGTAGTAGATTGGGGGAGGGGGTTATCACTTTGTTAGGGGTGTAAATGTCCAACTATTACATTGTTTTGTACACCTGAAACTAAAAAAACAAAAACAAACAAAAAACACAGTGCATTTCAAAGTCAAAGAGTTATTAATTTAAAATAACTGACCCTTTTGGATTTCATGGATAACCTTCTTATATCTATTACTTTGATCATATTCACATATCAACATAAGCAAACAAATACCATTAAATTATATTAAGTGTTTTTTCTAGAATAGCATCATATTAAATATCTCATCACATTCTTGTTTTTTCAAAAAGTGCTTAATTTGAAATAGTTACATGGTTTGTTTATTTATTTATTTATTTATTTATTTATTATTATTTTTAGCTGAGCCATCCTGCCACCTGTTGGCAGCTCAGCGGCAGCTCAGCTTGTGCCAGGAATCGAACCGACGACCCTGTTGCTCAGAGCTCACACACTTGAGCGAGCTCTTAACCAACTGAGCCACTCAGCCAGCCCACATGGTTTATTTTAAGTATGTAATATAGTCTCTGTTTATAATGGAAAACATTCCAAAAGAAGTTCATGATCTTTAAGTTCATAGTGCCACCTGGTAAAGTTATCAATTTAGTAGTCCCATTGAAAAAATTCTCACCTTTTCTCATTATTTATCTTCATGTTATATGCCTTTGCTTTCAAGGTTCCACAGATATTACTTACCACTTCTGTGTATAATTCAAAGTAAAAATTACATTTTAATTTTTGGAGTAATTGATCATAGATATACTATGTCACCCTGACTTCTAAATCCATTTATTCATAAATCTTTATTCTGCTCTTTTTATAGTTACCAGAGTCTTCCCCACCAAACTTGATTTATCTTTAATCTCTTTTTTTCCTTTTTTTTTCTTTTGGACATAGGTAAATCACTAGGTCATTTTGCAGAGATGTTCAGCCTGGGAAATATTTCAATCATTCGCTTTCATTTTCTCTATGTGATAACTTATGCAGTTGCATCCTTCTGTAATAAATTCCTCCAATGGATCAGAAATAATTTTTTCTCAGCAATTACATTTTTATGATTGCAACTGTAGGCATATGTACTTTATCACTTTCAGGATCCAAGTTTGTCAATGCAGTGCAGAAAGTCTATGCAGAATTGCAATGAAAAGAATTTACATCTCTATGTTGTATATATACTCTCTGAAGGAAATATAAACTGTTAGATCATGCTATAGACATGACATAACGGAAACATCTATAATTTAATTTGCCACAAAATATAATTTATTGTGTGTCAGATTCATGTTGAATATAAGCTGAAATAATTGACTTACTCAAAATCCTTTAAGATAAAAACAATAACAAACTCCTTATAATGTGTTATCTCCTATAAAGTTTTTTTTTCACAAAGGTTCAAATGTATTTTCTGATGTAAATGTATCCCATGTTTTCAAGAGGTAAATACAGAGTTATATCAATAGTAATAAACATTATTCCTCTGGCTGTCACCCCTAACACTTGTAGGAGGTCCTGTTGGTTCTTTCCCAGTTCCTACTTCCATAGCGTCTCCCATCTGTTTCTGGGAGTCTCTTGAGGATGGGTTTTTATATACTCTGTAATACTTATTGGGTATAGTTTAAGAATATCTGCCAACCCTTTTATCAGTCAGCATAAGCTAAGTTATGCTGTGATAAAAAGACAACCCCCAAATCTCTGAGTCTTAAAAGTTAATTTCCTTCCCAAGTTACATGTTCACTGTGAGTTGGCTGAGGGGGTCTCTGCTTAATACAGGCATTCAGGTACCCAGGCTAACGGAGACTCTATGTCAACATTTACTTCCACTGTTGTTGTAACAGGGGAAGAGAACATGATTGCAAGAAGCCTGTGAGGCAATCTGGCATGAGAGCTCTGCCTCTTGGGGATGATGGTGAATTAGTCCTATCTCCATCCTCCTTGGGAAATTGACTACATACTGAGGGTTAAGTGGTTAGTACCTAGGGTTAGACAGTTATATCATGTGCAAAGCTAAAAGACACACAGAAAGAAGTAGGACATGGGGAAGAGTGAAGCAGTTTTCAAGTTCGAGTTCACAAATTTCTGCTGTTGAGGGACAAAGAAGTTCACTAGTTACCAAGGTTGTGATGGATTCTTCCAACTACCAAACCACATTCTAGTCTCAGAATTATACACTAGCTTCTGCAGGGTCTTTCTGTTTCCAGTTGCTTGAGTATTGGCCATGTAGGCCAGATGCTTTTCTTTCTTATGTCATCTGATTCCCTGGCCTTCTACCTCCACATCAATGGCTGAGAGTTCAAAAGAAGTTCCATTAGCAATAGCAATCCAGGGTTCCTATAATTGCCCTCATTATTTAATGCTAGAATGAAGACTTTCCTGTAAAGTCTTTCTTCTGCTCTTCCCTTATCTCCAGATTTTCAAGTCTGTGAGGTATGACTTACCTGTGCCCCCAAATCAGTCTGTCGCCCATGTTTTTCCATTTTATCTGGTTTCGTCTTATCAACA